CCCCAAAACCCCAAAACCCCAAAACCCCAAAACCCCAAGCCGTATAAATAATATTGATATGCTTAATTATGGCTTATTCATCGCTAAGTTTTGACTCTTCTTCTTCGTATGATTCATCCTCCTTGTCTGAATCGTCTTCCTCTTCATTTGAGTCATCATCTTCATTTGAATCATCATCTTCTTCACTTTCATCACCTTCATCATCTTCTTCTTCACTTTCTTCATCAAATTCTCCCTCTGGGGATTCTGCCTTCTCAATGGTGTAGCTTCTTGAGTATGAGAAGTCTTCTCAGTCAGGGTCTGAAATGCATGACCCAATATATTTGAGCCCGTTTGGAGGCACAGTAACACTTGAAGTTCCATCCTTCGGTGTGAAATAACACCCATGAGAGCTGGTCATATCCAAGTCAATCTTCATCCATTGTTCAGTGTTATTAGCTAGAGCATAAGAACATCCATAAGCTTCAGTATGATCGACTCTAAAGAAGACTGCCCTCCTAGATTTGACTATATCATGAGAGTATTCTTTGTTATCAAATTTATGGTTCATATACAAATCCCATGCCCTTTGGTGCAGATCTCCAACAAAGGTTTCATTGATCTTTACGTTTATATTTTCATCTGCCTGGAAAGAAGTAACAAAAATTCTTGATTTGTGAGAATAAAGTGATCTGTCATACCCTAGAACTTCAAGGATCTCTTCCAGTCTTGGCTGGTCAAAGTTCCTAAACAAGAACTGCTTAAACCCAAGGTTTGTTAACCCTTTGCTGTCTCAAGATAGATTTTTGAAATCTTCAGATTTAAAACTCTTGGATGTCAAATTCATCAATTTCGGTTCATTTATAATTTTACCAAATTGATTCAGTTCATCTGCAGATAGTTTTCCATCTAATTTTAAGTCTATTTTTCTGAAAATATCATTTAGAGTTGTTAAGAAAAATGGGTGCGGCATTTGAATTTGATCATGAACAATACTATATTCAATTTCTTCATCATCAGCGTTGATGGGCCTTTGAAGTAATGCTCCTGTTGTTAGAGGAACAAAAATATAGCTCCCTTCATCTAGTTCATATCTCTTCTGAATTTCTCTTTCTACTAAAGGATCTGGAGCTTCAACCACTTCAAGCTCCTCAGTATCTTCGTCGATTTTTAACAGAATGAAAGTAATATCTAGAGTTCTTCTTCTATCTGCTCCTAGAACTCTATCATCTTCTTGATGGATTCCAAGGTGAACCACTGTATCTGGCTCTTCAATATCAAATGTGTAGTAAAACTTTGGAACAACCCATTTGTTATTTTTCTCCTTCTTCTTCTTGAACTCTGATGAATTTTCCTTTAAGCCTAATTTCGTTCCAATTATCCACCTCTCAAATATTAACTGAGTCAAATCTGAGGATAAAGTCTTCCAGTCACATCCAGAAGGATCCGTCTTCTGGATCAAAATCTGGATTAAAATATTCTTTCATTTCTTCTGTCCACTCTTCGCTTTCATCGGCCCAAGCTCCATCCCATTCGTATTTTCCCCAAGGATTTCTAATATTGAGGAGTTTTACTCCAAGTCCTTCTTTTGCTTGAATAATACTGTAGGCATGACCTGGAACTAGACCAGAGGGAGCATCCAATTGGCCTCCCTCAGTAGCGTTATCGTATCCAGGAGTTTCCCCAGAGATGAGGTAGCCTCTCTCATCAGCATCCAGAATCTTTTCCCAGATTTCTTCCGCTTCCTCTTCAACTGTTTCATAGTCAGGTTTATCTTCTGGAAACTTAATATTACAAGTTGGGCAGCCTGTGATATCGAGCATTCCATGATGAGTGTACCCATATCTTAAAGAATAGTATGAACCATGCATTTTAGCATATGCCTTTTCTAGAAGCATAACCCAGAGTTCGTCTCCGTTCCCTCTTGCAAACATGGGGCCTCCATTAAAGTAGCATGGGATATAGTCGTCAATCGTAATTGTGTTCCATTCTCCGTTCTTGCAAAGTCTTACTTTGTAAATTCCTTCCTTGTTGTAATTCTTTGTGATGATCAATCTTTTAACTAACGCAGGACGCTCTGCTAGGGATGACAAAGCAGATAAAAACCAACAGTTAGGCAAATGCCCCTGCTTAATATCATTGGGGTTTATTCCGTCCTGGAATATAGAAGGCTTTTTCATAAACTCATGAGGTCTCCTCCAATGTACAATTTGTTTGTAAGGATATGGCTCCGTAATTCAATGGATGCTAGAATCTCTGGGTGGGAAGTGTGGATCAACAAAATGGCTCACTCCAATCTTTTTGATCTGCTTATTTCAATTCCTTATCGCTCATCACTTCGAAGGGTAAGGTTTTAAATGAGTCCTCAATTTTTGAAATTATTTCTTCTATTTTATCTCTTTCTTCTTGTGTGTGCTCTTTTTGTTCATCCAATGGAATCGGATCTTCAATTAACTTAAACATGGGTGAAAAAGTATATGGAGGGATTTTCTTAATCTTGAAAATATCCTTCTTCTCCAAGCATCCGACCTTAGCTTCCCTCACTTCATCAGTTGGATCTCCATCTGCAAATTCAATATTCTTTCAGCTCGAAAGGTCGAGGTTAAATGTTGAAACGCTTAATGACTTGCCTTCAAGCTCCCAGACTTCGTTATTTCCTTTGATCTTTCTTCTGATAATAGTACCTGATGGATAAGTGATCGATTTATTTTCAGACATTTTAACAAGAAAATTATTTTTATTATTAAAATAGTTATCGCAGCTCTATATGGGGTTTTGGGGTTTTGGGGTTTTGGGGTTTTGGGGTTTTGGGG